AATAAACCTTTCATATATATATCTACATCATCAATCAATCACTAATTACATACCAATATTCATATTTACAGATCAACTGTAAGTCATGTAAATAGACAATACAAAAATCAAGAAAATGTGATTAGGACATTTGCTTCGAATCAGTCGATATGTGAGGATAATCAGTTAAACAATCAATGAATGAAAAAGTAATTAAAATAAATAAATAATAGCAGTTTATACAATATAGGAGAAAATAAACAACACGATTAGGCAATTATACACTGATCAGTTTCGACTCTACTAGTGACCTATAATTAATTTAAGAATTTTTAATTTTTATAAAACACACCAGTATTTGTTATTAGAGTTTTAATTTACTATAACGGGAGAAAAGAGTGAGGGATTCTTACGCCGAATCGGTGTTCGAAATATCATCTTTTTTACTACACCTCTTGGTAGTTCTCGAGTTTTCTGAGTTTTTCCTGCATAAATCAAAAGTACATGTCACGTATCTTGAAATACTCCAAAAAGGCTAAAATGAGCATTTTCGAATTTTTTCTGCTAGTTTAGGGTTCCGGCACGTCGGTGCAGGCTTCGACACCCACGACAGCGGTTCCTCCCGGCCTGGCCGTTTTTGACCGATTTTGCATGAAAACCTACAAAAAATAAGGTTAGGGAGCCTTTATCAGTTAGAAAAAGGGAAAAACTAAGACCCTATTGACGGAGGGATTCTTCGATGCGGCGGCTCTGCACGGAGATTGGCCGCGCTGCTGAAGTGGCTGTCCACGTGGCCAAACTTTTATTAATTTTATTTTTATCCAATTTTTCCAGATTTTTATTTGTAAATAGGTCCTCCCTTATTTTTATTTTGATCATAATTTTCAAAAATATTTTAAAATGTATTTAAAACTCAATTTTCTTTAAAAATTCACAAAAAAATTTAAAACTAAATTATTTTGATTATTATTCCATTAAATATTAAATTTTTCGAATCAAATTTTTTGGCCCAGTATTACACCTTAGATCTTTAATTATATATATCCACACATATATATATACACGCATATAGATTTTGTTTTTGATGTGATAAAACATCCGATTAGAAAATCTTTTTAGTTCCACTAAACCTATTTCATGCATGCTTATTAACACTACATTGGAAGCGGTAAAAGGTTTTTTTTAGCTAAGGGAAAATATTATTTTTTGTAGAATTTTGTTCTTAAAAAGTTATCTCATTTGAAAGATAAGATAACATATTTTATGTAAAATAGACAATTTTATGAATATTGATTACTGTATTATTTATTTTTATAGAAATAATAAAATTTATCTTTCTTATTTTGGTTACCTAAAAAATTAATTGAAAATCTAATTTTATTTAAAATTAAAAATAAAAAAATAATTATTGTTGGGATATCGTTAATACTTATTATTTTTATTTGCGTGATTTAAATAAAATAAATTTATTATTCTTATTAAGTTTATTAAGATAAACTTTTAATTATTATAATTTTTAAACTCTATTGAAAATAAAATATATAACACATATAACAAAAATTTTATCCTTTTTTTTATAAAATTTTTTGACAGTTGCATAAAAAAATTATACATCAAAATAAATTTATATATTGAATAACCAAATGACATCTAAAAATTTTGTGCGGATGTAATTGCGTAACATAAGGAATAGTTGAGAAAATATAACAATAATTTTTGTCAATTATATTATATATTATATAAACATATATTTTAATTGTCTTGTTAATTTAAAAAATGTTAAAAAGTTCTTTTTTAAATATATCTTGTTGATGCTATTTCAAATTTCCGGGTAGTAGATGACCTTTATCAATGCGGTTTCCAAAACCAACTGCGGTTTCCAAAACCACACGCAGTATAGTCACCGTCACTCACATTCGTTGTGTTAGCTGTGGGACGTGGCTCCACAATGACAACGCGTGGTTTCACATTCTGGTACGACGAATAATTTCAACTAACATACATCATCACAACATTATATGACGTCAAAAATAGCATTTAAGAAAAATTTAAAATTAACAACATAATCCTTCGAGATTTCCGTTTGAGTGCGGCTAATTGAAATTACCACTTTCTCCTCAGCTCTGGAACCACTGCTGTGGAAAACTGAAATGCGTTTTTGTAATTTTAGTACTTCTGACCAGTTTCTCCTCAACACCGTGTTGTTATACACTCTACTAGTACTATATTTTCGTTTTGGCCACGTAGGACAGTTGACTTTACCATGTAATGGACGGTCAGGATTGGCTAGTGTACCATCGCCACCATACACCAGCGAGCACCTTGATTGTTTTCATGTATATAACAATTTATTTATTATTTATATTATTAAAAATTTAAATCCAAAGTGAGAAGAAAGAAATGGAGGTGGGCGAGTTCGCCGAGTCTTGAAGCATCATCGTGCATGCATTGTTTTTGCTTTCGTACCACCAAACTCCTCTCCTCTTTATCTCTCCTTTCTCCCTTTTGCATGAACATCTTTTCTCTTACAACCAGACCGCAATAAGGCTCCATCGGCTTCTCTGCTCCTCGCAATCTTAATCCAGCAGCACCGCGCTTTACCATCCAGTCTATTTTTTGAACAGCGGATAGTCTTAGTTAATTGCAGAGTAGTCAAACATGGCTATTCTTCGTGATGCTTTTATTCACTAGGGAAGGAGTTTCGGCGTTGCTTAGTGGATAGTAGCGGAGGTCAGCACGTTCTCTAATGTCTCCCACTATCCTAGTTGACCAAACTGTTGGTTTTGCTTTCTGAGTTGGTGGTTTATGGAAAAGAGGACTTCAAAAAATAAATTTAGGGTTTGTCTCAC